GAGTTTAGTTTTGAAGGTTTAAGGGGTTGTAGGTGTCAAAAGATTTTTTAGGGTTTAAAATTTTAAAATTTACGTAAATATTCTATAAAATAACAATTTAATAAAAAAAAGGTAAAGAAGACCGAAAAGAACGCACCTTCCTCTCTCCTTCATCGCAACGAAGCAAGCACCTTTAAACAAACCCCTTTTATCATTCATTCTTCTTCTTAAAAACCCAACCCATTTCCCACTTGTTTCTTCATCACCTTCTCATTATCCCAAACACACATATACACACTGAAAATTCGATAACAAAAAGCTTCCAACTTCTCTTCAATCCACTTCTCTTCCACTTTCATTCCAGGTTTGTTGCTTTCTCTTCTTCTTCTTTGGAATTTCCAATTTCGTTTTATGGGTTAATTTGGTTTGCAAGTTTTGCTATTTCTAGAAACATCATCACTCTTTAGTTTATTGAATTTGAAAATCTCTAATTTCTGACTTTATCTTTGACCCCTTTTTTGGAAAAATGAAAACTTTGGTCGGAATTTTTCAACGGAGATAATTGAAACGGTCGTTGGCCTAATGGTTTGTCTCAGTAGAACTAGAAAGTTCTTTACTTGATATATCCACTAAAATTGCGGTATCAAATTCTTCATAAGAATTCTAGAAAATGGGCAAATTTATGAGGCAAAAGAGCTTAATTTTGGGTTTTATTACGGCGATTTGATCCTCGATCAGTTTCTCATCAATCAATCAACCTTTTTTTATGAATCCACAGGATAATATTATGTGCAGTGGACCACGGAGCAACCTCTGCTCTTCAAAAACCCTAACTGAAATCGAATTAAAGAAAGAAGAAACAATGGGTCTCCTCGAATTCGCCGCCTGTGATGATCTTTCATCGTTCCAGAGAGAGATCGAAGAGAAAGGGCTCGACTTGGACGAGCCAGGGCTATGGTATTGCAGACGGGTCGGGTCGAAGAAGATGGGTTTTGAAGAAAGAACACCTTTAATGGTTGCTGCTATGTACGGAAGCAAAAAGGTTCTAGCTTTCATCATCTCCACTGGAAAATCCGATGTGAACAGAGCTTGTGGTGTAGAGAGAGTCACTGCTCTTCATTGTGCTGTTGCTGGATGTTCTGTGAATATGATTGAAGTCATCAATGACTTGATTGATGCTTCTGCTTTGGTTTACTCTGTTGATGCTAATGGGAATCAACCTTTGGATGTGTTTGTTCGGGTTTCAAGATTCGTGGCTAGTCCGAGGAGGAAAGCGGTTGAGTTGTTGCTGAAAGGAGGTGGATTGATGAATGAGGCTGTTGAAGAAGAGGTCAAGATAGTTTCCAAGTATCCAGCTGATGCGTCTTTACCTGATATTAACGAAGGTGTTTATGGAAGTGATGAGTTTAGGATGTATAGCTTTAAGGTTAAGCCGTGTTCGAGGGCTTATTCGCATGATTGGACTGAGTGTGCTTTCGTTCATCCGGGAGAGAACGCGAGGAGGAGAGATCCGAGGAAGTATCCTTACACTTGTGTCCCGTGTCCTGAGTTCCGTAAAGGGTCATGCACGAAAGGAGATTCTTGCGAGTACGCTCATGGAGTTTTCGAGTCTTGGCTTCACCCGGCGCAGTATAAAACCCGGCTTTGTAAAGATGAGACTGGTTGTGCAAGGAAAGTTTGTTTCTTTGCGCATAAACGCGAAGAGATGAGACCTGTTAATGCTTCGACTGGCTCTGCCGTGGCTCAGTCTCCGTTTAACAGCTTGGAGATGATGCCGGGTTTGTCTCCTCTTGCGTATTCTTCAGGAGTTTCAACTCCTCCGGTCTCTCCCATGGCTAATGGTGTTGGTTCCTCTCCAAGAAATGGCGGGTCATGGCAGAACAGAGTCAGTACTCTTACTCCACCGGCTTTGCAGCTCAATGGAGGAAGCAGATTGAAGTCAACACTGAGCGCCAGAGATATGGATATCGATATGGAGATGGAACTAAGACTCCGCGGTTTTAACAATGTCGAAGAGACTTACGGGTCTTATGTTTCCTCTCCAAGTAGGAATTCTCAGATGAGCCAAAACATGAACCAACATTATCCATCTTCCCCAGTAAGGCAACAGCCTCCTCATCACGGGTTCGACTCTTCAGCAGCTGTAGCGGTTGCAGTAATGAACGCTAGATCATCTGCTTTTGCTAAACGCAGCTTGAGTTTCAAACCAGCTGCTCAAACAGCAGCACAGTCGAATCTCTCGGATTGGGGATCGCCGAACGGGAAGCTCGAATGGGGAATGAAAGGAGAGGAGCTGAATAAGATGAGGAGAAGTGTTTCCTTTGGAATCCATGGG